AATGCCGGAAATGAAAACCAATTGCTTTACTAAAATGTGAATTTTGGGTAATTTAACGATAAAAATTCGGACATTGATAGAAAGATCTTACCCATATTATTTAACAAAACTTTTTGGAGAGAATTCCTGCTGCCGAAATACACCTCTTACATATATATATATATATATATATATATATATATATATATATATATATATATATATATATATAAAAAGAGAGAGAGAGAGAGATTTCATTCAATACGACATACAAGGTGCTTTGATTTATTTTTTTATAGAATTTCTCATGGAATCTTATAATTATTCGTTTTCGAATTATAAATTTAATTGTTATTTCTTTCCGTGGGCTTCTGCCTATGTATTTAGCCATTTTCATGGTTGAAATATATTACCTGTTAACAAGAAATAGATTGTTGTAAGTATGTATTTATATAATGTTTTCATTTTCAAAATACGGTTAAGATATTATGTCCATGATCATAGTTGATATTATTAAGTGATTTCTTTGTTTTTATTAGGAAGGCTTCCATTTTTAAGCCCTTTTTTGAATGTAGATGATGCGAGTATATTTGTATTTCATGTTAAGTATAGGGTCCAGTAGGTCTCCATGAGTATTTAAATGAGATCTAATTGAGCTATGGTCAGAAACGTGTAGAGTTAGTCTCCGTGTCAAACATGTTTTAGTATAGCCTATATAATTATTTACGAATTTTGATTGACCAGGAATACAATTCCTTAATGGACATTTAAATTAGTAATTAATATTTGTCTTTTTTAAGCTTGTTCTAAGAGGTGAATTATTGTTTTTAACTGTAAGGGTAGAGGTTTTAATTTTTTTGAAATAAATAATCTAATTTTTTATATTCGTGAATCTAGATTCATCTTGTTTGCAATTTTGGTTAATTTGTTTTTTGTAAAAATATATTAATGCTATTGTTTATGTTTCTATTCTCGTCGTTGATGTTTACATATATATATATAACCAACATATATATGCAACCATCATCATATATATATATAACCATCATTATATATATATATATATATATATATATATATATATATAACCATCAGAAAACTATAATATATATATATATATATATATATATATATATATAACCATGACAGAAAACTATATACACACACATATATATATATATATATATATATAACCATGACTGAAAACTATAATATATATATATATATATATATATATATAACCATGACTGAAAACTATAATATATATATATATATATAACCATGACAGAAAACTATAATACATATATATATATATATATATATATATATGATATAGAATAACTATAAGAAAACTATAATATATATATATATATATATATATATATAACCATGACAGAAAACTATAATACATATATATATATATATATATATATATATATATATATATATATATGTGTGTGTGTGTGTGTGTGTGTGTGTGTGTGTGTGTGTGTGTGTGAAAATATATATAAAATTGGAAGTAACTGGTTAGGTAAATAATCCAAAGTCCCTTAGTATTTTAGTTATTATTTTTAAAAAATAGTGCTCGATACAAAAGTAGAGCATAAATATAATTATTTATTTAAAAATATGATTCCAAATCGCTACATAAGAGGTCTCATGTTTCAAAACAAGAGCCGAAAACTTCAATATAATCCTTTAAATTAAATTGAGTTGAAATTAAAATGGGCTCCGTTCCATCTTCAAGCGAAATTTTTGTTGGAATAACGTATATCTGAAATTTACTTGTTTTAAAAATTGAAATCAAAATCCCCATGGTAACAGCTGGGGCGAATTGTCTAAATTGGGTAGGCGAGTGTAGGGTGTTAATAATAAGTAGCGGTATAGAGATACTTTCAAGGTGTCAAGTCGGGGAATGGTGGGGGTGTCAAAAATGAAACGGAAGAAGTATTAACCTTCGTCTAGTTTGTTAGTCTATGGACATTTATTTATTTATTCTATTTTATTTAAAGGCAGTGGAGAACTTTCAGATGGGAATTAACAGGAGATAACTGACATCCATTAGACATGACAAGTGTAATTAGAACAGTCTACCCCAGTGAGCGAAATAAAGCGTTCAGTTCGACATTCCGACCACCTGAAGAAGGCCGGAGCGTACAACGGCCGAAACGTTGTGATGAACATGGCGACAAAGATGAGGTCAATAGTCCGAATAATGTAAATTGTGTACAATTTTATAGCTTCAACCGAATATATTTCGAACGCATTTGTATGCCTTGAACTATAGATAAAATGTGTTACTAATCATTTCAATTTAAAAATGAATTGTTGGTCATTTATTTTTAAGATAGAAATGTATTGCCGGTATTTTTACTATAAAAATGTATTTCTATACTTTGATCTTATTTTGTTTCTGTTTGCGTGTTCACTATTTGCCTATAGCAGGGACCGTAACCGGTTCTATCACCCTGAGTCAAGGTGTACCTTGAAACAAAAGCAATTATGAAGTGGTTCCGTCTTCTTTGTGTACCGTGCCCTTTCAGGACGGGGGCGATCATGGCTTGCCATAACTTCCTGCTTCTTGTAGCATTTAATAAACCTTATCCTTCTGCTATTTCTCCAAAGCTCTTTTCCGACATACATTTACTCAACCTTATGTCATGTTTTGTCATACTCTGTCCCTCTTGGCCTCTCCCTGTCCCTTGAGTATCAGATTTTTCCAAGCCTTTCTTTCTCAATATTTGCCCTAAAGACCTCAACTCCCTTTTTCTGATATTAAGTTTTACTTACATTTTTTTTTCATTTTCTACAAAACTTCGTCGTTACTCCGATGTTCAGTCATCGGTAGCCTCAGCATCTTTCTGTTGAACCACATTTCTACTGCTTAAACTCTTCTCTTCATGTTTGAGGAGATTATTCAACACTCACTGTCATATTAGAGAACAGATATCACATAGCAGTTTATTTTTTTTCCTTGTTTCTAGAGTAATTTTTTTTTATTTCTTAATATTCTGATAATCTTCTTTGGCTATCCGAATACGTCTTGGAGTCTCAGTGTCGACCTTTCCTTTCTTTGTTAAAACTCTTCCCAGATATTTAAATTTCCAAACTCGTTCGATTTTCGTATCTCCGATTTGTAATTTGCACTTTTTGCTCCTGCTTTTGCTAACAACCATGCATTCCGTCTTCTTGCAATTGATGTTTCATCTTTTCGTCTCGCTAACCTTCACTATCTTCTGTAGGAGTTTTTGTAGCTTTCTTTCTGTGTTTGCTATAAACACAGTTTCATTTGCATATCCTATGTTGTTAAGATTGTGGACGCCAATAATTAATTCTGGTTAAACTTCTAGATTTTTTAGAAACGTCTCGCTGTATCCACGTTCCTCAAAACCTCCAATTTCCTGATTAGAAACCTTTCTGCCGGATATAGTTTATTGTCATACCCAGAGCTACCACCCAGAGTCAGGGGGAACCTGAGTCCAGTAACAATTAAGAGGTGGTACCATGCTCCTCAAAAGCTCCTATCTCTAGATGAGAGACCTTTCTGCTGTATGTAGTTTATCGTTATACCCAGAGCTACTACCCAGAGTCAGGGTGAACCTGAGTCCAGTAACAATTAAGAGATGGTACCATGCTCCTCAAAAGCTCCAATTTCCCGATTAGAAACCTTTCTACCGTATATAGTTTATCGTTATACCCAGAGCTACTACCCAGAGTCAGGGGGAACCTGAGTCCAGTAACAATTAAGAGGTGGTACCATGCTCCTCAAAAGCTCCAATTTCCCGATTAGAAACCTTTCTACCGTATATAGTTTATCATTATACCCAGAGCTACCACCCAGAGTCAGGGGAAACCTGAGTCCAGTAACAATTAAGAGGTGGTACCATGCTCCTCAAAAGCTCCTATCTCTAGATGAGAGACCTTTCTGCTGTATGTAGTTTTTCGTCATACCCAGAGCTACCATCCAGAGTCAGGGTGAACCTGAGTCCAGTAACAATTAAGAGGTGGTACCATGCTCCTCAAAAGCTCCAATTTCCCGATTAGAAACCTTTCTACCGTATATAGTTCATCATTATACCCAGAGCTACCACCCAGAGTCAGGGGAAACCTGAGTCCAGTAACAATTAAGAGGTGGTACCATGCTCCTCAAAAGCTCCAATTTCCCGATTAGAAACCTTTCTACCGTATATAGTTTATCGTTATACCCAGAGCTACTACCCAGAGTCAGGGGGAACCTGAGTCCAGTAACAATTAAGAGGTGGTACCATGCTCCCCAAAACCTCCAATTTCCCGATTAGAAACCTTTCTACCGTATATAGTTTATCGTTATACCCAGAGCTACTACCCAGAGTCAGGGGTGAACCTGGGTCAGTAACAATTAAGAGGGCAAATTTCCCCAACCACGCTCCTCAAAAGCTCCTATCTCTAGATGAGAGACCTTTCTGCTGTATGTAGTTTTTCGTCATACCCAGGTCTAGAACCCCGAGTCAGGGTGAACCTGAGAACAGCAGCAGTGTAGAGGTGGTACCACGCTCCCCGAGACCTCTAATCTCCCGATCAGAGGCCTTTCTGCCGTATGTAGTTTACTGTCATACCCAGGACGCGGATGTAATTTATCGTCATACCCAGGACTTCATTGAATTTGAAGAAATTCGCAAATTTAATTCCATCCGTTGACATATAATATACTTTTGCAAAAAGATGTCAAAAGATATATTTTCTAATTTATTTCTAATTCATTTATTGTATTAACTTTATTTATTTCAGCGTACCACCGCATGCATACATATATTTATTTCAGTTCGTTCATAATCTCTGTTAGCCAACTCGTATGCATCTCCATCTCTTAATATCTGTATCTATATACGCATGCGCATGCTGACGTGCCTGTGTGAATTATCTCTTTTTTTCATATTTTCTTTCTGACTCAGTATTGATTACTTTCCATAAGACTTTCTCTTTCGTCTTCAGCTTCACTACGATTCTTATTGTAACAATTCTACCTAAATTACGTTTTATAGCTTCAAGAGTCTTTTTTTTCCTTCTTTTCTCCTCTCTCCTTCTCCAATCGACTGCCTATAATGGACCATCTGTGGGTCATTTGATAGTTTAGTCAATTGAAAACGTGTCAATGTGAAACCGTTTTCTTTTCATATTTAGGAACATTTTATTTATTAACTTTAATTTATATGTCACTCAACAGGACATTTTTTTCGGGACATTCATATTGTCAGAGTAAATGAATGAATAAGTTTTAGAACTTTTGAGAATTGTCAAATCATCTGAAAAGAGAGCAAAAATTTCAAAAATAAAAAAAAGGAAATTAACGACTGCCTAATACTGAAAAGGGCGACGTGGAAGTATAATACTGTTAATGTAATTTAAAATGGATAATAAGAAGCCGATGAAATAGAACATTAATTTAAAACATGCAGCAGAGAAAGAAAACTGGAGGGCAAAGAGCAACATATAATAGGAGATGAAGGTTTTACATCCACCATTATCTTTGTAGTGTAAGGGGAAGATTTGGAAAGACACGAAATGACTCAAAGAAGACAGATTAAAAAGAAAGGATTCGAAAATGGATGAAGTTTTCAGATAAAAAAAAATAAACAAAAAGGCAAACATGAGCAGCTAAAAAGAAATATGGCAAATTCGCGGGTAGGGTAACTAAAATCAGAACTGCAGAGTGAACAAGCAAACGTTTCGTCTCTCTGCAGTTTTGTGTTAACAAAGAAAGAAAATTCGGCTCACTTCCTTTAAGCAGCAGTCTTTCTAAGAAAGGTTTGCTCTGTATAACAAACTGTGATAAAAGCAACAGGAAACCATTGTTTTGTCTTTCCGAAGATGTCATGGCAATTCACAGATAATAAGTGAAAGAGAATGTGTGGAGAACCATGGCAGAATACATTGCGAAGTGACATAAAATTAAATGAAACATTATGACATGAATGGGGTTTTAAATTTTGACTAGTAAAATTAAAGATGTAAACAAATGAAGTAGAATGTTAAAAGAATGTTCAACTAGATTTATTCAATTAATTAATTAACTAACATCTACAACCTAGCGAAACGTTAATGGATGAAACCATGGTATGGTGTGTGAAAGTGATTTCTAGTTTTTGTTTTTAAATTTAATAGTCTGCACGCTCAATTTTGGGATTGTGTATAGAGCTGGCAATCTACTCTGACCAACAATCAGTTACATACAAACATACAAATATATATATATATATATATATATATATATATATATATATATACATGTGTGTGTGTATATATATATATATATATATATATATATATATATATATATATATATATATATGCATATGTATACATATATATATATATATATGTGTGTGTATATATATATATATATATATATTTTATATATATATATATATATATATATATATATATATATATATGCATATGTATACATATCATCATCTACATGCAAAAAAGGTTAAAAATAATGGAAATCTTATTAATAAAAACAAAAAAAAAAAAACAACACTTAATAATATTAACTTTGAATATAGACCGTGTTTTGAAAAATGAAAACATTTTATAAAACATACATACAACAAATTATTTCTTATTTTAACAGTTAAAATATAATCCTTGAAAATGGCTAAATGTATAGCCGAAAGCGCTCGGATAAAAAGAACATTCAGACAGTTTTTATATAAGAAAAGAAAACAATGTTAGATCGCATGAGAAATGGTATAATTGTGTGTGTGTGTGTGTGTGTGTGTGTGTGTGTGTGTGAAAAGTAACTCCTCTTTTTAATATACTTATAATTTATTTATTCATTAACTATAATTTTTACAAGTGATGGATACGAGAGGAAAGCGTTTAGGTTTTATTCAAAATTCAATATGGGCACCAGATTCTCCTTATAGCTTCTCGATCCGCCTAGGAATCGCATCAACTGTTTTTACCAGGAACTCTCGTGGCATGGAAGACATAACATCTTGTATTCGCCCTTCAAATTCTTCCAAAGTCTTGGTTTGATATAACAGACTTGCTCTTTTATTCAACTCCAAAGAAAAAAGGTCACAGTTTTTTTTTTTAAGTCAGGACTCCTTGCTGGCCACACATAGATAAAATACGGAGTTATTTTTTTATCACCCTTTATAGTAGGGAAAAACACAAGATTTGTTATTATTATTCATATTATCTTAACAGCATATATGAAGTGAATGCAAGGCAAAAATATTAAAATAAAAAATTATCGGAAAATATATAATGAAAGAGGTGAAGGATAGAAAGAAGTATATATAGACAGATGTATAGACAGACAGATGCGTAGACCGACATACAAAAATGATAGGTAGATATAAATTAATGTTTCTGTTATAAACATGTAAATATAAAACAATGATATTCTATACAGAAATGTCCCATGTGTATGTTAAATTTACTTTGCCATTTGCATTAGCAGGTTCATTTTGTTATCACACTGGCAACATCTCAACCATTCTATTGTTCACCCTCCTTCAGTTGTGAATCAGACTCGAATTATCATGTGTGGTAGCACCTGTTAGGGTCCTATCTCTGGGCAAGTACTAAACAAAAATTATAGTACAGTTTTATAAGAAAATCAGCAACAATATATTTTTAAAGCAAAATGACAATGAATGCAACACCAAAAAATATAAAAATAAATTTTTATAGTGAAATTACCAACATATATTTTATGATCTACAAAATTTATATGTAAAGAAAAATATACATTTACCCTGGTAGTATACAATGATGTCCAAAACATCTTTATATTTGGTTGAAAGCATAAAATTACATGCAAAATATTTAGATTTCGGAATTATATAACCCATAGATGTGTTGATATGCCCTTAAACAAAATGAGCTAATCTATCAACCAACCATTCTCATCTTGGTTGTTTGTCAACGTTTCTTTCCTTGCATGCTCTGGTCTTCTTCAGGAACAGTGTAAAAGAAACAAACAAAACCAGAAAATGAGAGCAACAATCCATCTTTTTAAGGAAATGGGAACCAAAGGAAACGTAGTTTTGCTTAGGAGTCATTTGAAAATTCCGGGAAGCTTATTGAGGAACATAGAGCCAAACAATTTAACTCACACAGGATCTACTGAAGTTATATGAAGCAGATGAAGTACTAGACTGCTTGGTGATTGAATGAACAGAGAACAGACCAGGGATAAGGAAGGATGGCAAATGGATCCGAGATTGTTCTGAGCAATCAAAGATTGGAAGATGTGTAGAGACATGATATTTCATATTTTGAAAAATAAAAAAAAAGAATATGGTGCCAAAACGAATTCAAAACAAATTCATCAAAACAACCCTCAGATTGAACCAAAAATAAATTATGGGAAAGGAAAGGAAACAGGAATTTTAAAATAACTTGCTTTTTCAATTTAGAAACATGACAGGATCTTTGACAGACTGAAGGCCAAAAGAAAAAAAAAGTTCTGGACAATCCTTTTTTTATTTTCATCTCTGTCACTTTGTTGTGCATTTAATTTGAAGCAGCTGAACCCTTTTTTGTCATATGTCAAATGAAAATAGTTTTAATTTGACACAAGTCTGCTAAGCGAGTTCAATATTCGTAACGCCAATTTTGCAATCTTTGCAATAATGCAGTTATCCTATTTCCTAATTTTTACCTTCTCCCTTCAGTGCGTAGTCTATCAAAGCGCTCCACATCTTCCTACTTTTTGTAGTTCTTAATGATATATTTTCGATATCACTTCCAATTCTTTTTCTTCCATCCACTTACACAAGCTCCTTAATTGGATAACTCGCTGCTTTCCGTTGTACCTTTTGCCTTCAATATGTCGCGTTAGTGTCCAATTCCTTTTTCCTCATTATATATTCTAGAAATATAAGCTATCTCCTCCTGATTCTACGTATAAGTTTCCATAACTTCCCATTTCACTTTAAAAGTCCTTGTTACTCAAATATTCAGTTCATGGCTTTCTCCGTATCCTTATCTAGAACAACTTTCCAGTTGCCACAAGCCTCTTCATCTGCGAGCAGATTGTCCAGCATTTACTGCTATATACCATGATCGATATTACGTAATAATTCACAGCACTTTTATTTTGTTCAATTAAAATTTCCTGTTTCTTAATACTTTGTTTAGATTCTGGAAGGCATGTTTCACATTTTCAATGAGCTTTAGGTTTTTCTGTGCTCTATTTAAACTTCTTAGGTATTTAAACTTTCCTACTTACTTTTTTAAACCGTATCACGCCATGAAAGGTAATAAAGCCACTAAGACACTAGGGGTTACTTATTGTAGGAGAACAAGAAAAAGAGACACATAAGGGAGCGAGGAGAATAGGAGAGTAATCATGACAGTAGATAGCGATTGATATTGCATTTATATTTTTGAAGATCAACGTTGGCTAGGAAACATGAAACCGGAAGAGGGTTCCACAAACGCGAAGTGTGGGAAAAGAAACGATTAGCATAGAATTTACGGTTTAATCTAGCCAATTTAACTGTGAATTGGTGTGACCTTGCTGCCAATCTAGTACTTTACTTAACTTCATAAAGTCTAGGTACGATAGCGAAGAGCTTATCCGAACAGTTACTACGAAAGTATTCATAAAAAAGTACAGAGAAACTACGGCGGTGGGTATATGACTGACGCCAGGTCACGACCAATAATATTGCTGATTCTTCTTTAGATTTTATCAAGAATATCAAACAGGAGCACTGGTGTAGCTGTTGGAACGATATTCAAAGTATGGACTAAAATTAAACTTTTAAATATGCTAGAAAGATTCTGAGGATTGAAATTTTCAAGCATGACACAATGAACGGACTTTCTTAGAAGCAGACATAACAATGGACTTTTTTTAAGCGTTTCACCCCAATCAAGGTGGGAAGCCACTAGGAGAGCAAGGGGTTACAGAATATTTGGAGCAAGATCAGATAGGAGTGATAGAGGAAACGATGAGGAGAAGGATAGTGGATAGATCAAGACAACTGGAGATGTCGATTGACATTACTTTTGAATAGATGGAGATTATAGCTCTCAGGGAAACTGGAATAGGTAAGGGAGTCCCACAGGCGAGAGGTGCG